TGAGGAAATTGCAGCTTTCCAGAGGAAGCGTCGGAGCGGCAGCAACGGCTCTGTGATCAGCCTGGAGCAGCAGCAGGTACCAGCACAGCGGGCCTGGCTCATCCTTCCCCTTCAAGGGGGACTGCTGTTCCCCACTGCAGGCTAACAAGGGATGCTGAGAGCAGAGGCACATCAGCTCGAGATATGCACGCTCAGTCCCTAACCTGTCCTGTCCTTAAGGAAGACAGTGCCTCATGTCATTTGTGTCTGGTAGTGAAGTACTTAGAGATCATCTCTGTCCTTCGTCGCTAGGATCCTCTGTAGGTCTAAGCATTAGCAGGGAGCCTATGGAATCTTGTCTGTTGGTGCAGGGGGTGTGGGAGATACAGCTGCCTAGGCCTCCTTGACAGCTGGGGATCCAGCTCAGCTCCATCTCTTGGGGGAGCTCAGAGGACAAAAACTGAAGACTGGACTGGCAGAGGTGGAACCAAGACTCTAGGTCTGATCTCAGCCTCTTTGCTTCCATAATCTAATAGTCCTTAGATTGCTAGTGCTGCCCGCACACATACACATCCTGTTTTCCTCTCCTCCATCAGAAAATTGAGGAACAAAAGAAGTGGCTGGACATGGAGATGGATAAAGTCCTTGAGCAGCGCCGGGCCCTGGATGAGCTGGAGGATGAGCTGAGGAAACGGGAAGCTATCGTGGCCAAAAAGGAGGCCTTGCTGCAGGAGAAGAATGGCCTGGAGAGCAAACGACTGCGTTCCAGCCAGGTGGGAGTGTGACACTTCTTGACTCGCAGCAGAGAGGTAGGAGAGGAAAGGGCCTGTGAGGGGGTGACCAGGTGCCATGTGGCAGCTGAAGGCCAGGGATGAGGTAGTGTCACTGGGAAGTAGGTAGGAAATTCTGCTTCTCCCACCAGAGAACCTGCTCGTGCTGCATCCTGAGCTAGTGGTTTAGTAAGCCAAGATTTCTGGGTGTGTTGGGAGTATGACTTGAGTTGTGGAAGAAGAAGGAGGGGGAGATCTGTCTTTCCTTTGGAGCAGAGCGTTCAAGCATCTTCTGCTGCAGGCGCTGACAGATGATATAGTACGTGTGTCCAGCCGCCTGGAGCACTTGGAAAAGGAGTTGACAGAGAAGAACGGACAGCTGCGCCATGGCAGTGCCCACGACCAGCAGCAGATCCGCCAGGAGATCAACAACCTGCGCCAGGAGAAGGACCAGCTCCTCAAACAGAGGTTGGAGCTAGACAACAAGCTGCGCCAAGGCACACTGCTCTCCCCAGAGGTACCTGTTCTTTGGCAGGGCTGCTCTGCTTGCAGGAGTGCAAAAGAGGAGAGGAGTAGGGTAAAGACCTGATCACAAGGCCATTAGATGCTCCCAAAGGAGCCAGTAATGTTGGTGCTGCAAGTTGAAAAAGGAGGGGGGATACTAGGTGGTAGTGGGAGGGGGAGAGAGTGAAAGCTTTGGCCCCACATGGGTGCTCTGTCCTGTATGCTGACTCCAACCTTA